GCTCATTTTAGTACAGCTGTAATAGATTATATTTAGCTTAGATATAATAATATCTTCATTTCAGTAGTACAGGGTGGCGCCGCTTATACGCCGCGGAAGCTCCAAGGAAAACGGTAGTTTATATCAAAACGAAATTTTAGCAGCATATGTCGGTTAACTGAAAGCATTTTATAGAAATATATAGAATTATACAGGGTGTCCCCAAAAAAAGTTACACGTCAAAGTTGTCTTTTTTCTAATGGAACACCCTATATATTAATTGATTATCGGATTCTAGAAAAAAAATAAGGTGAGTTATATTAAAGAAGCATATACCTAAAAGCTAAGGATTTTGACATATTTCACATTTTGTGAAAATGAAGAGTAAATTTTAAATTTCGATAACAGAGCTACCTAAATTTTAGTTGACCTTGTATAGCCTGATATTTAATTACAGTAACCATTGTATGTTAAACCAAATTGAAATTTGACCCAAAAAGTTATACAGGGTGAGACAAAATTAATATGAAACATTAGTCACTTTTAAAAGCAAGTTACTCCTTTATTTTAAATGGAACACCCAGTATATTTTTCCGGTGTTCAATGAGGAATATATCTTCAAAATAGTATTAAGGTTGCCTACCCCTCAGACAAAGATTTTCCTAGATATTTTAATTTTTATGATTTTACGTCAGTAGATCTTTATTATTTGAAAAAATCTAGGGTGGCTGTGTGATATACCTTTTGTTAGTTTAACAAAAATTAAAGATTGTACAGTAAAATACTCAACGGTAATAAAAAGATACACGGTTAAAACATATTTTAATTATTACAGAATTAAAACTAGATATAACCCTATAATTAGGTGACAAAATTAGCTAGATGAAATCAAATGCTCAAAATGCTTCCTTTCCTGTTAACTGTATAAAATGATTGTCTTTTCAAAAGGATCTTTTCATTTTAAAAGGCATATGTGGAGTTCTACCTCGAAAAGCAGCTACAATAATTTCTCTCATGTTGTCGACAATAGTTGGTCGAGTTTTGTAAACACTGTCTTTAACATATCCCCATAAAAAAACAGACTAGATAAAATCAAGAGCATTTAAGTATTCTATTAATTAGTAAATGCACACTGCATTCACCAACTAATAGAATCGTATCAATTCTCTCTGATGTAGGATAAGTTTGCATTTTCGACAAATTTCTGAGAAATTTTTTTGTTTTAACTGACACAAAATGATAATTAGTTGTTACAGTTAGACTACTTAGACTCTTAGACAGCTATGTTAAAGTAACGTCAGACATATCACAGGCACCTAGATTTTATCAAATAATAAAGATTTGCTCAGATCAAATCATGTAAATGAAAATATCTAGGAAAAGCTTTGTTTGAGGGGTAGGAAACCTTAATAGTATTTTGAAGAGACATGAATTCTCCATTGAATATCGGAATAATATATTGGGTGTTCCGTGTTCCATTTAAAATAAAAGAGTAACATACTTTTAAAGGTGACCAATGTTCAATATTAATTTTGTCTCACCCTGTATAACTTTTTGGATCAAGTTTTAATTTGATTTAAAGTACAATAGTTAATTTAACTAAATATTAGGCTATACCGGGTAAATTCCAATTTAGGTAGCTTTTATTGTAATTTAAAAATTGTTCTTTATTTCTAGAAAATATTAAACATGTTAAAAACCTTACATTTTAGTCATATACTTCTCTTATAAAACTCATCTTTATTTTTCTCCCACAATGCAAAAATCAATTAATATATAGAGTGTTCCATTACAAAAAACACAACTTTGATATGTAACTTTTTTTGGAGACACCCTGTGGAATTCTCTATATTTTTAAAAAGTGCTCTGAATTAACCTACATATGTTCACAAAATTTCATTTCAATTCAAACTGTCGTTCTCCTTGGAGCCTCTGCGGCGTATGAGAGGCGCCACACGGTGATATATTTGCTCATTTTAGCTGGCCAAAAGGTTATTTTTAAAAATTAATTTTAATGACCAACAAAAAATGTTATCTTGAAACCCAGGAGATAAGGCATCTAAAAATAACTTGCTTTTTGCCATACAAACAGGTATTCTTATTTAGAACTAGTTCCAATTTGTCTGTCTCACAAGCAGAGTGTTTTCGGCTTAAAAATTGCTTTAGTTTAAATTAATAAATTTTATTTTTTATATATTTGTTTCCAAAAGTGAATATGGATTGTGACGAAGCAGGTAAATATAGGACTATTTCATATTTTAATCAAATGAACCTCGTTGGTTTTTCAAAGCTACGCCTAGTGAAAGGTATTAACTTTTTTGTATGTCTTTTTTTTAAACGCCTAAAGTTGTTATGTGGTTCCTTGCATTTCCCGACAAAAAACTTTGATCATTTGAAAAAAGCCTTTGCTCTTCTACAAAACTTGATATTAAGTAGCCGCCAAATGCCGCCACTTTTGAAAAAAATCTAGTTTTTAAAAACTAGCGCAGTTTATTATTTTTTGTGACGTACATCTAATTCGGTATTTTTGCATTTAAGGACCTGCTGGAGATAAGATCTTCACCCGAAATCAACTTTTTAATCTGATGAGTCAACAAAATTTGAAAGTATTTGACGAAAAATTGGCATTTTTGTAAAATTATCTTCTTACATACGATGCTTTTTCTGAAGATCAAAAAAGAGAAATTAAGCACTTTCACGTTTGCAAGCCGAATTTAAAAAAAGGTGGATAGAATGTCACAAAACTACACACATATTTCTAAATAAAAATGCAAAATGGTTAGAGGGAACATTTTCTATACCGAGAATAACACGGCCAATCGGAAGACCTCAAAAAACATTTTCAGAGCTAAGTGAACGAGGCAAACGAAGAAAAACCATCCGAGAGAGTACTGGTGCTGAAAGTCTTACTTATGCTGCCCGAATGAAGTTGAATGAACAAGGCAAAAGAACGGAATCTAAACTGCTCGCAGAAATCACCACAATTCCAAATCGTTCAAAAGAATATAATCAAGCATTTTCTAATAGGTCAAATAAAAATATACAGCGACTTTTAACGTTAAATGCATTATCCATGTTTGTTGAGGCTAGTCTTTCTAGAAAACAGTATGAAATTATCAAAAGTTCAACCAACAAAATTTACCCATGTTACAGCTTATTGCTGCAAGAAAAAAAGAAGTGTTATCCAGAAAAAGAATCTTATAGAGTCACGGAAACCTGTGCAGAAATTAAATTGCAAAGCTTAATGGACTTAACTGTTTTAAGATTATCTTTATATTTAGAAGAGGTTTTGTTAACTTTAAATGAAGAGGAACGTAGCTCTCTGATTCTTCTTTGCAAATGGGTTGTGATGGAACTCAGCAAGCGCAATACAAACAAAAATTTCAAAATGACGCTGATTCAGACGCAAATTTGTTTCAAAGTTCTTTTGTCCCATTACAACTAATTTCAAATTTGAATAACAAAGTCATCTGGAAAAATCCCACGCCATCATCGCCACGTTTTTGCCGACCCATAAGATTAAGCTTTATTAAAGAAACAGCAAACATAATTAGAGACGAAATTTGTTACGTAGAAAGTGCTGTTGCTTCCTTAAATCCAACAAATATTTATTTACAAGATAAAGCCCTTGCAGTGAAACACGTTTTGCAACTAACAATGATTGATGCTAAAGTCTGCAATGCTGCTTGTGAAAATTCATCCACTATGAAGTGCTATATCTGTGGAGCAACAACGAAGGATTTTAACAACCTGAATGTTACTAAAGAAAGCAATCCGGAATCGTTTTAATTTGGCTTATCTGTTTTACACACAAGAATTAAGCTGTTTGAAAGTTTACTTCATATTTCGTACAAACTGCCCGTAAAGAAATGGAGACTTCAGACTGAACACGAAAAAGAAATAGTTACAAACAAGAAAGCTGAAATTCAGGACAATTTTAAAACAACTCTTGGACTTTTAGTAGATATTCCAAAACAAGGTTTTGGAAATACAAGCGATGGAAACACCAGTCGCAGGTTTTTGCCGATCCAGAAGTCTCCTCTAAAATTACCGGAATTGATATATCCCCTTATTCATCGGTTTAAAGTAATTCTTGAAGTCATTTCTAGTGGCTATAGGGTGAATACACAAAAATTTGCCTGTTATACAAGAGAGACCTCCGAACTATATGTAGCACTTTATCCTTGGCATCCAATGACACCTACTATGCACAAATTACTTGTGCATGGTGCAGAGGTAATAGAACATGCCATTCTTCCCATCGGACAGCTGTCTGAGGAGGCTGCAGAAGCCAGAAATAAACATTTTAGGTTATATCGACAAAACTTTGCCAGAAAGTTTTCTAGAGAATCCTGTAACGTGGATATATTAAATCGTTTGCTTTTAAGTTCAGATCCATTTTTATCAATGACAAGATCACAACCAAAGAAAAAGACTTTTCTAAAAGAAACTTTAGAATAGAATTACTTCTTCCAGATGAACCCTTGGCTAGTACAACCCTTAGAACCGAATCGTCTTCCGACGAAGGTCAGAGTGAAGAAAAAAACTCATCAGATGAAGATTCGTGGTTTTCCTCAAGTTCGGATTAAATTTTTAGTTGCAATTTTTCTTAAGAATATATATTTTTATTAAAACCTATTTTTTCGACATTTTTGTTTTAAAAAGTGGAGATCTTTGAAAACAGCAAAAATTTTGGCTCTTACATTCAATTCTCGTTAAAACCAACAAAGTTATTTACTTCACTATCCTCGAATATTTTTGACCACCTAAACTGGGAAAATAGCTCACCGTGCGCCACCCTGTATACATAAAAGTTTTTAAAATAGTTAATTTTTTTCTACACAAACGAAAGAAACCGACAACACGGTATGCCGCTTTATATTTATCTCTGTCACCATGCATTAAAATACAGACCACGCAGATGGGGTAACCAGTGCTAATATATTATCCGATAATGATGACGTAACATTGAACGAATTTTTTAATCGCATTGTATATTAAACAAGCATTTCTTTCTTTAGCTCTAGGTTGAGAGATCTTGGGATGAATCGAGACACATTTAATGTAAGTAAGGAAGAACAAAAGAGCTGCAAACACCTTTATACATAATATTAATAATAATTATAATAATTATCTCATAGAGTTTGGTGATTATATTGTTACACCCTTATCATTTATATAAAAAAACCGTCAGTATGTACAAGGATGACTACTTTAGAACTTAGTATTAAAAGGTATCAATCGCGCATTGTTTTTTGTTAAGTATTTATGTTTGCCATAACGTTAAAAAATAATCTAGATTCATTCTTTCAGGCGTTGATCGCAAAGTACCGTATGATCGAAAAAAAACGGCGTCAAGTTGGCTTGGAAATGAGGATCCATGACATTTACCGTATAATTCTACATATAAAATAACAGCGATCTTTATTTCCAAGCCAACTCGTATGTCGTTATTTTCTTCGGTCGTACGGTATATTATTTATAAAATAATGAACGAAAAAAAACATTTTCTCGAATTTTTTTACTCTTTTTTGTTTCTTGATTAAATCAATTTCTCTTTAATGACTCTATCATCCCCAGGCATTTATTTTGGTAATTTTACTTATGTTTAAATGTAAATATTTAAAAAATGTAATGTTTAATAGTGCAAAATAAATTTTAATATCAGTAAAAGTTACTATCTTTTTTCCTGTGTAAACATTCATTATTATCATTTTATGCACTAGCGTGTACCCGCGACGCGATTAATCATTGGTAATGGTGATGATAAAGCAAAGCAAGAATTTTCATTAACATACAAACTGGATAAAATTTTCTCACATTTATGTCAGCATGAGAAAAAACAATATGGCGATATTGTATTCATCTCGTTGGGATTTGACTTTCGAAAAATCCGTTTGACAAAAATAAGCTTTTTACGTCAAGCAGTTTAAGCAGAATCGTGGTTAATCAATTACCCAACTTTTTGGAACACCCTGTATGATTTTTTAAAAAAATTCAAAATATGTAAAAAGCAAAATAAATTATGCGTGTCCAAGCGTTTTCCCGAAAGACAAGCGTTTTTTAAATAACAAATATTGTAATATTGAGGGGCGTTTTCACCCTCTTGGAATTTGAGATTCGAGAAACCCCTCCTTATCGAACCTCTTCACCCTACAGTCAATCCGTTTGCCAAAAATCAGCTTTAAACATCAAGCGGTTTAAGCAGAATCGCGATTACTCAATGGTCATATTTTATGAAACACCCTGTATAAATTAAAAAAAAAATCTTAAAATATGTAAAACAATAAAATAAAATATACGTGTTTAAGAGTTTTTCTGAAAAACTCACAGGTTTTTAAATAAAAAATATTCTAATATTTGATGGGTAGAATTCGAGTTTCGAAAAATCCCTCCTTATCGTACCTCCACCCTAAAGTAAATCCGTTTTCCAAAAATCAGCTCTTTACGTCAAGCACTTGATGCAGGATCGTAATTAATCAATGACCAGATTTTTCGAAACACCCTGTATACGTTTTTGAAAAACCTTACAATATGTAAAAAAACCTTTGAATAAGAAGACTAAGGAAGGAGCATATCAAAAATCTTAGGCACACCGCGATGGGCTTCAAATATGGCCGACTTAAATTCCGGTTTATCAGTGCCGTTCTAATTTTATTTAAAAAATGTAAAACCAAAGTAAAACTATGATGTAGGGTAGACGTGGGGTAGACTCAATAATTTGTTGTTTTATTTTACGTTGTGAATAAATGTTGGTAGTTATTAAAATTGTTATAAAAATATATAATTCTAATAAAATAGATAAGTTATAATAAGTATTTATTAACACAAACATCCGATACGCTACTGAAGCAGGTAAGTCAAATTAACGTATCTAAATTCTTTGACATCTAATCTTTGACAAGTAATAAATAAAAGCTAAAATGCAAGAAAAATATACATTTAGTTAATTTAAGTGAATTTCGTAAATGATCGGTTTACTACACGTATGTATATTATATAGTCACTTACTAGGGAAAAGTTGTTCCATTATTTCACTCAATTTTTGCCGAGTTCTACTGCACGCTACACAACCAACTATTTTAGAGTCTTTTTCGATAAATCGCGATAGTGTCACTGTTAACTTAAGTTCTGCCACAATTTCCATCTAGATTTACCACCTTTATACAACTATCAGTAGTAGAATAAATAATAAATAAAATAAAATAAGCTCTGTAAAGACTGACAAATCCACAAAATTTCAAATCAAATTCAAATGTGTCAAATAGAACTGTCAAGGATCCCCACCCTAGAGAGCTTTTATGGCGCTTTTTCCGCCCACCATGCATGAATACATGGATAGCATTATGCTCCTTCCTTAGTCTTCTTATTCAAAGAAAAAAACAAAATAAAATATACGGGTTTTTTCGGAAACTTGATTGTTTTTTAAATAAAAAATATTGTAATATTTGAGGGGTGGTTTCACCCCCTTGGAACTGGAATTTCGAATAATCCCTTCTTATCGAACCTTTACACCCTAGAATCAACCTGTATGTCAAAATTGAGCTTCTTACGTTGAGTGGTTTGAGCAGGATCGTGATTAATCAGAATCAGTGAGTCAGTCCCGTAAGGATTTTATATATTAGTATAGATTGTGTCCTCCTTTCTTGAGTTATAACTCATCATACAGTCTCGGGGCTTTGACAAAAACCAGTATCTGAGACGACTTTACAGAAGTTAGTTCTCCATCTCTGATATCAGTTGTACCTACTGATGTAAAATAACTGGTAATTTATGAATTGATAATATAATAAATGGTAAGAATCGACAACAATATACACAATTTTAAGTTTATTTTGTAAAAATATAAATGGGAATAAACAAAGTACATTTTTAGTAGTTACAAGAAAAGTAAAAAAATATATGTATAAGTGTATATTTATCCTTAAAACAAAAAATATAATATTAAATATGCTATTTGCTACTGACTTCTGTTTCAGTGGCGCCCTCTATAACTGATTCTAGTTCACTTTTAGGCCTCTTCTTCACTACAGTGGACGACCCCACTTTAGAACTATTCGATTTAATTCCATCGTCTGTCACGTTTGATTTGTAGGATTTGCTTCCTTTTGAGTCTAATCCTTTCCTGGTTCTGCTTTTGTCTTTGTTCCTATCCTCTAATATTCTTTGTTCCAATATTTCATTAGTGATTCCCTGATGAACAATGTAAAAGATTCTCACACAGAAATGGTATAGGAATGAAAGAGTAAAGTGTTTTTTTTTAATTATTGTAAGAAAAGATACAATACAAGGAATACAGCACATCTTAAATGATTCTTTCACAGAGTAAGAAATTACTGTTGAGCATGAAAAAATACGGAAATTTTTTACTAACAAAAAAATAATATATACAAATCAATTGAAAATCAAAGAATATACAGGGTGGTGCGAACTGTATTCCGGAAACTTCGGCAGCATATTCTGAAGATTAAATTAAGTAAAAAAGTTCGTATAAATGTATGTCCTAAAATGCGCAGTTTCGGGGATACTGGGCGTAGAAGTTTCATTTTTATTTCGATTTTTCCAAATAATTTATGAAGTAACGTCAATATTTGGATGAAAATTGGTATCTGGAAGTTTTTTGACATGAGAAATTTGATTTTGATGTCAATATGACTCCTACTTGTAGAGGGCGCCACCTACATATTTTTTAACTGGTTTGAAGAGTAATAACTTTTCGTCCGTACCTGTAAAAAAAAATTCCCAAATTTATTATTTCAGTCAAATAACTATCTACTCAACGTGTTTATTTTTTTGTCAAAATAATTTCTAAATATCTAAAGAACGGTTGCTCGTAGCTATTTTTACCAAGAGACATTTTTTACGTAAAAAGTCACGGAAATGCGTGTATTTTTTCACTCAGTAGTTTTATACAGGTACGGACGAAAAGTTATTACTCTTCAAAAGAGTTAACACATGTAGGTGGCGACCCCTACAAATAGGAGTTATATTGACATCAAAATCAAATTTCTCATGTCAAAAAAAATACCAGACACCAATTTTCATTCAAATATTGAGGTTACTTCAGAAATTATTTGGAAAAAATCGAAATAAAAAATTAAATTTTACACCCTGTATCTCCGAAACTAAGCATTTTAGGACATATATTTATACGAACGTTTTTACATATTTTTATCTGCAGAATATGCTGCCGAAGTTTCCGGAATACAGTTCGACCACCCTGTATATTAGGGATATTAGCTTTAACTATACAACCAATATCAATCAAAATATCAATCAAATTGTTGATATATTGTTATAGTATGAGAGCTAGCAACGTCGGAAAAACAAGTATTTTAAGACGTCTGGCTCTTTGATATATCTTTTACTATGCTCTCTAGAACAGCATGCGGCCCGTCTGGCTGCCGGTAATCGTTGCGTTCCCTAATGCGCCTTGAAAGAAGATCCTATATTTTTATTAGTCCTTTAAATTCTAGTATTGAATATAAATCAAACATGTCTCCATAGCGCAGTGCGTAGAGTTTCCGACCACGAACCGATGATTCAGAGTTCGAATCCGGGTAAGGGCAAATAACTTTTACTAAACACTTTTTATTTTATTTTCGTTTATATTCTGATGGTAAAGTATTAAGTATTTGTTTTTTTTTAAATTACCCGAATTATTTAATACTTTACTATCAGAATATAAACGAAAATAAAATAAAAAAGTCGTTGTCCTTGCCCGGATTCGAACTCTGAATCATCGGTTCGTAGTCGGAAACTACACATTGCGCTATGGAGACACGTTCCATTTATATTCAATACTAGAATTTATAGAACTAAATTAATAAAAAATATAGGATCTTCTTCCGATGCGCAGTAGTGAACGCAACGGGTATCGGCAGCCAGACGGGCCGCATGCTGTTCCAGAGAGCATATAAAAGATATATCAAAGAGCCAGCCGTCTTAAAATACTTTCTCGAAAACGTTGCTAGCTCTTAAACTCTTATAAATGGCTTCGTATCCAAACAAATTGGGCATGAAATTTGACAAAATCTCTAAAAACGCCAGTAGAAATTTTATGAAGTCATTAACTGCAAATTTGTAGCTTGTTAAAATTTAAAAAGTCTTGAGATTTACATTTGTAGAAAAAATATTTATACAATATTATTCTTTTTAAAAAATTACCATTATTTCAGTTAATGTTTTCCCTCTGGCATATCCACAATCTCCCCTTCCAAATATCCATCCTGGAGCTATTCCCTCTGGATCGTACAATAAAACAGCATTTCGACATGATGTGTACAATATTCTTGATACAAGAACTGTAATAACCTAAAGTAACAAATCGTAAAATTAACAATTATTTATCTATAATGGAAAATTGCTAAAAAAAATTAAAAACCTATATAGGGAAATTTCGTACATGCAGTATCGTAATACCACTAATAACCATGGTAATAAGGTCGATTATCCATCCTAGTGGAGCCTTCATTTTTTCTACACATCCCTTAACATTCAAAGAGTCAGTTATAGTGTCTGGAGCGTCCGCCCATAGATTAGCGAGTGCAGTTTGCTGGACGGGATCGTGAAAACACTGCATCGGATACTGAATTTTGCAACAGGACCAAGGGATGACAGGTAGGTATAGTTTGTTCTTGTCAAAACGTAGTCTGAAAATTATTTTTATTAACATGCATATACCGTGCTGGCAACTGTTACTTTTGGGTCGGTATTTACATGTGTGGAAGTAAATCGCATAGGGATCTTATTAAGTCGGAGTGAGAGAAATGCGACGGTGTGTTATTGCGGCGTTGCCGGTACGCCTTTCCCTATCAAGAGAAGTAAAATCACGATCATCGCAAACCGCTTATTTTTAAAATACTTTTTTTTCGAAAAGGTAACTAGATAAAATCATTAGATATGTTGCTAAGCATCTGAAATGGAATTATAAGGATATCGTTAGAGTATTCATTGTTTTATAACGAGAAAACATTCTCATTTACTTTTAGTGCATAGCAGTTTTCAGCAATTGTGTAACTTTTATATTTATAAATATTTTCATATACTGTCTGCGAAGAAAATATAGCATTATATTATTTTATAGCATTATTATATATATTTTATATTATTATTTATAGCATTATATTATCATATATATAGTTTTTGAAAAAAACTACAATCAATTATTTCTAATAGATTTCGAGATATCGATTTTTGAATTCAGAGTTCTAATAGCGCAACCACTGTCGAACACCATCTCAATCCCACTTATTTTTACCAAAATGCAAGTGTTTCTAACTTACACTTAAAAATTTCCAAGCTATAGGGAACATTACAATGACTCGTTAATAAATAAACAAATAAAGTATAATGAGACGAAATTATATCGTGGAGCTGAACGCATGATGTACACCTTTCCCTAGAACTTTAAGTACTGACAGAGGTACTGATTGGGTCAACCGGTCGACTGCGCGAGAAATCTGCTATATCCCCTACCACGTCTTTTAGCAACGTGCACAGTTTCTCGGTTTATTTCGTATGTTTGGCAACGTGTTTACTGTTCTCTCTTTGTTCAGTACGTTATAAACGCATTGTACTCTTCTTACATACGGAAATCTCGACCCAAGACTAACCTTTTCCAGCCCTTAGTATTTATATCACTGTCTAGTCATTTTTCGTTTGAGCTAAGCGTTTCATACATGATATAAAATGTCGAAACGTGAAAAGAACTAGGTACTTATATAAGAAAATTATCAATTTGTAAACAAATCTTACTCTTCAACTTCTTTCGATTTTGTATTAATCATTGTGTCGTCCATCCATTCGATACTTTGCCAGTCTTTATATGATTCATCCCCACAACATTCTAGGCGATATTGTATAGTATCTATGGTTTCTTTTGAGTCTAAGTCTGTCAAATAACTCTTCATACCACCTCAAAAGAAGACATTTATTTATATACAGAGACTTTGGAATAGGACTTTATAGTAGTCCAAAGAAAAAGTAATTGTAAAAAGTAACTTTTGTAAAATAGTTTTTCCCTACTCATTTACAAATAAAAACTATATTATTGCTCTGACCTTACTTTGAATTGAATTTTTCATTGATTTAACTATGTGTTTGTTGACTTTTCTAGACATATTAGCTATAATTATTAACATTATTACAGTATTGGTTCCAGCACAATACCACAGTAGCAGTAAACTTCTTGTACTTTTTCTAAAAACATAAAAAAATATACTGCCTTATTAATATGATTATTTATCATTTATATGGTAAAATTTTAACTTAAAACTGCTTCAAATTAATGAATACTTACTTATGAGCTTGATTAAAACACTTGTAACAAATTTTAATCCCTATCAGCCAATTCATCATGATATTTACACCAAACACTCCGTACACTACAAAAACAAAGTCGATTTCTGCCTTTTCTGTTAGTATTAATGGAGAAATAGACACTCCAACGTATATGGACAGACCAGTTATGGAACCGCCTAGTACTACCTCAAAAATATTCAAAACTAAAAAAATTGTAATGATACAGTTTCAAAAAGGTAAAAAATTGGAAGAAAATACCTAGGAATATTACTGATAATGTTTTTCTTTGATTGTAGCTGAGCTTGAACAGGCCAATGGCCATATCATTTAGAATAAAACAGTGTAAATAATTTTTGAAAAAGTCATTTTGACCGGGGACATTGAAAGTTGTCAAAAAGATATCATGAAAATTAAAGGTGACGAGAGTTTAGTTTTTAATATACTCTAAAATTTTTAACAAATAATTAGTCATTTTTGTAGGTAAAACAATACTACATTTTTTATGTTTTAATTGTATTAAAAAACATTCTACATGTAAGCAGTTACTGTACAGGATGTCCCATTTTCGTGTGTTTTACAGGGTTTCTCGGTTATGAATAGAGGTACAAAGATACAGTTTTCACATTACTATGCTGCTTTCTTATGAAACTAATATAATTATACTACTAAAATAATAAATTATACTAATACTACTAATATAATAAAACTAATATAAAATAGAAAACAAATTTCTTGCAGTATAGGTATATAATAAAATTATATAAGGATTCTTGCCACTTAACTGCTGATATAGAAATTTAATTCTACGCTGTGTTGGTCATAATGTGAATCAACCTGCTCTCACTACCGGTTTCGGAGCCCTACTCCATCATCAGGTGAGCTTGGGCAGATCCACAAAATGACAACCACAGCGTAGAGATAGTTAATTCCGACTTGTCGGAAAGTGTCGGTTAGATATTAAGTCCCGAACGGGAGATAGCGGCCTGCGTGCAATGGTAGTACTTTCGTACCACCGAGGCGCAACTATCGATAGTAAAGGATGGTAAAAGGCTTTTTTTCAGGCAAGCCAAATTATAAAATAGAAAACAAATTTCTAAAAAATCTGCCTTCTTTCTCTGCCGAAATCTCTCTTCTAGATAAAAACCTAGGAGGTTTAAAAAGGTATCGACATTAACCTAGTGTCTAAATCACAATGCTAATAAATAAAATAAAAAATAAGTTTTTTTTATTAAAAGAAATCTATTGAGACTTAAAATTAAATTTCCATTTTACTTATATCTGAATTTAAATCATTATTTCTATTTTCTCTGATTTTCGATAAATTTTCTTTGAAATTCTTCGCGCTTGTTTCAGCTACTAAATATAAAACAGACCTCTTTGCCACAGCACCAGATTGAAGAGCTTTGACATAACATTTGCACAAAGACGAATCTTTTTCTGGAGGATGTATCAAATTTTCTGGATCTATCCAAACCTACAATACATAATTTCAAAAAATGACTTTTTATTACTCCGTGATTAAATCAAATAAAAACCAAAAATAAAATAGAACTTACTTCATCTTTAGTTACACTGAAAGTTTCCACAACACCCATATATTCAGACCATAGAGTTTTCCTGTATTTAATATCGTGTCTTTTGACCAAAGGAAACAATAGTACGTTTCCAAAAACTTTATTGCCGTAACTAACTGCTTGATACTGTTCTAGTAACTGGACATAGAAATCTTTGAAGTTTGTCAAACCTTAAAGAATTTTTTAGATAAATATATCATATGGTCGCAAAAAAACGTGTCATAGAGGCCTTTGAAGCGTCTATCGGACCTACCAGATGTTACCAGACGAATCTATTTTCGAAAAATAACATTAGTGGATAGAATGTTATTTTTTGAGGTTTTTGAAGTTTCTAAAAAGACTGACTCTATTCTATGACTAATAGATTTTATTTTTGTTGTTGAAAGACAAAATAATTAATTTTAATAAGCCACTAGATATATATATATATATATATATATATATATATATATATATATATATATATATATATATATATATATATATATATATATATATATATATATATATATATATATATGTCAAGGTGTATGTGGCGCCATCTGTATATTTGTCAAGGTGTATGTGGCGCCATCTGTCGGAGAATTCCTCGCTTCAAACCAAACCAAACTAAACCGCAACGTGTCAAGAAAAATGGCGAATTCACCAGAAAGTAAAAGAAATACTACAGAATTCTAGAATAGAATTTTCCCAAAGCTCCACAGCTCTATAAAAGTTGGTAGTATATAGCGTTTGGCAGTTGGGACAGTTTGAAGTTTAAATTAGTAGTGGGAACTATCGAATGAATACAATCGAAACATTCGATAGTTGCAATTCATTCGAATAATTCAATAGTTAGTAAGAAAACATTCGTTGAAAACTATTCGAATAAAAATTATCGAATAGATCCGTCATCTGCCTTGAAATATTGTATTCTAGTAATTCGGCAGTAATTCGGCAGCAAAAATTCATTCATTTATAAAATTCATTATTCGTCAGGATCGATTATAATAAAATATTAACTGAATTTTAGTTGTCGCCCGGCGACGTAGGTTTCTTTTCCGAGAAACCCGACAGCGGTCGGTGGCTAATGCTATGAAAGAAGCCGGCATCTTTGATTTTTTGCGGAGTCAGATATATAGATAAGGACACATTATTTTTTTTTATTGAGGTGCTAGTACTTACACAGAAAATACATTATGAAAGGCCAAGTGCTGTTGCCATATTTTTGGTATTAGTTGATATTAGCAAAGAATATTATTATTTAGCTTTAGTTAATTAGGGATAGTATGTTTTATATATTCTGCATTTTTTTTGCTTATTAATATTCTGTTGTTACACTGCAATAATACTTTGTTATTTTGGATGTAGGAAAATTATTTTTAATGTTTTTTAGCAAAGACTGGTTTAATAAATAATAATAACAGTAATAATTTGTTATACCTATTAACAACAAAATTTAAAATCATTTAATATAAATATTTTCTTTTTAAGTAGTAGCAAAAATATAAACAACAAATTAGATGTCAAAATTATTTATATTAGATCCTATTTAAAAATAATATAGTCTCCAAATTTTTGGCAACGTTGGTTTATTAAATAATAATGATTACAGAACTAATTTTTTATATTAACAACAAATTTTAAAATCATGAAAATATAAACATTTATTAATTTTCTAAGCATGCAGTGTAATGGAAGGAAGATATAAATAAAAATTAGAAAATCAAAATTATTTATATTAGGTGCTTATATTACTATTTAAAAATTATATTTACTTTTACTGGCATTTACTTTAAAAAATAAATGAAATATTTCTTCGCAAAAACTACATGTAAGAGAATTAGCATAAACAAAATACAAACATCGTTAACTTTTTTTTTAAATTGGCACGTGTAAAACTTTCATTTTAATTTTCTCACCCCATAGTTTGAGTTCGATAACCATTTACTTAACCACATTACTTTAATATGATTATTAAGTTCAACTAATTCATATTATTAAAACATCTAAAATACAAATATGTACTTTTAAAATTAATTTAAGTTCATCTCATCTCTCTTAAAAATTGCTACTTCTCAAAATTTCCCATTAAAAAATAGACCATATACCATATAAAATTAAATAATTGAAAGATCGGACTACGGAAAACCACACAACTTTTCGGAAAAATTTTGACCACCTGCACATGCACACAATCGTCAATAAATAAAATTAAAAAATAACTACTATTTTAGTATTTTAACTATTTTAGTAAACGCAAAAATAGCACAGTAATATTATTTAATATATATATATATATATATATATATATATATATATATATATATATATATATATATATATATATATATATATATATATATATATATATATATATATATATATATATATTGTCAAGGTGTATGTGGCGCCATCTGTTGGAGAATTCCTCAGCTTCAAACCAAACCAAACTAAACCGCAACGTGTCAAGAAAAATGGCGAATTCACCAGAAAGTAAAAGAAATACTACAGAATTCTAGAATAGAATTTTCCCAAAGATCCACAGCTATATAAAAGTTGGCAGTATATAGCGTTTGGCAGTTGGGACAGTTTGAAGTTTGAATATACCGCGTTTGGAAATTGTGAATCGGACAATTTGGTGAAGGAATTTTACAAATAGTTAGTTGTGTGTTTAATTAGTATAAATTGGGTGTAAATAGTAAATTTAGAAGAAAAATAAATTCGTTAAGTATTTTATCGTGAGTTTAAATTAGTGGACCCACGGAATCCGTAACAATATGTTTAAAAAAATAAATAAATTAATATTGATTCATTTTGAATGACATAAATAAGCATTACCTGATATTTCCTGTTCAAAATTGAGTTTATTCTCAAATTTACACAAAAACCCATAGATCCTTGTTAACAAATTTTGTATCTCTTCGTTTAAAAATAAATTGTCGCTCCCCAAAAACAAACAGCCCAGTCTAACATATTTTTCAGTCGGGCTTATGGTCTGGGCCAAACTTTCAAAATACATTTCATATATCAAAATCCATCGTAGACAATTAATTATAATGTAGAAATCGGCTTCTTCATTATTTGTTTCTTGTTTTGATCGATTTTGTTGAGTAGAATAAAGGAGAACTAAGGGTGTGTATATCCAATCCATCGGTATAACATTCCCTACGCTCATATCTAGCGATACAGTAGTTTCAAGAGTTACAATGTCCTACAAAAAAAATGTATACAATAGAACTAGAAATTAGTACCTTGCGATTTAAAAAGAAACGCATAAATTTTTTATAAAACGTCATTTTATAAGTAAAATTATATGGGGAAACGTATATATAAAGTTTGGTAGATTTTTTGCTTAGATGCAATGGGACAAATGAACTACTCACTATAACAAATAATTTGGAAGCCTGTCTTTGTAACATACGATCGAAAAACGGCGTCAGGGATGGGAGATGAAGATCGTTATCATTTTGTAAGTCAAATTATATTGGGAATAATATCGATCGTCATTTCCTAATCAACTGAGTGCCGTTTTATTTGATTATACGGTATTATTAACAACGTATGTACGGAGTAAAGTTCAGTATCAGTTATTGTTTTGAAGGCAATGGGACAAATGAACTACTCACTATAATAAATTATTTTAGCGCCTGTATTTCTATCATACCATCGAAAAAACGCCGTCAGAGACGGCTTGGAAATAAAAAACGCTGTCATTTTATATGTAAAATTATATGGGAAATGTTTTTTTTTCGATCATACGATATTAATGACGTATTTAAGGAGTAAAGTTCAGTATCAGTTATTACTTAGAAGGCAATGGGACAAATGAACTACTCACTATAAGAAATTATTTTAGAGCCTGTATTTCTACCATACGATCGAAAAAAATGGTGTCAGAGATGGCTTGGAAATAAAAAAAAATCGCTGTCATTTTATATTTAAATTATATGGAAAATGTCATTGCTAGTCATTTCGTAGCCAATTGGGCACCGTTTTTTTTCGATCAAGCGGTATTAATGACGTATGTAAGGAGTAAAGTTCAGTATCAGTTATTGCTTAGAAGGCAATGGGACAAACGAACTACTCACTAAAAAAAAATATTTTAGAACCCGGATTTCTACCATTCGATCGAAAAAAAACGGTGTCAGAGATGGCTTGGAAATAAAAATCGCTGTCATTTTATATGTAAAATTATATGGGAAATGTCATCTTCGTAGCCAACTGGGCACCGGTTTTTTTCGATCATACGGTATTAATGACGTATTTAAGGTGTAAAGTTCAGTATCAGTTATTGCTTAGAAGGCAATGGGACAAATGAACTACTCACTATAACAAATGATTTTAAAGTCTGTATTTCTACCATACGGTCGAAAAAACGGCCTCAGAGATGGCTTGGAAATGAAATTCGCTGTCATTTTATATGTAAAATTAAATGGGAAATGTCATCGTTAGTCATTTCGTAGCCAACCGGGCACCGTTTTTTTTGGCAATGGGACAAACGAACTACTCACTATAAAAAAATATTTTAGAACCCGTATTTCTACCATTCGATCGAGAAAAAAAAACGGTGTCAGAGATGGCTTGGAAATAAAAATCGCTGTCATTTTATATGTAAAATTATATGGAAAATGTCATCTTCGGAGCCAACTGGGCACCGGTTTTTTTCGATCATACGGTATTAATCACGTATGTAAGGAGTAAAGTTCAGTATCAGCTATTGCTTAGAAGGCAATGGGACAAATGAACTACTCGATCACTATAACAAATTATTTTAGAGCCTGTATTTCTACCATACCATCGAAAAAACGGCGTCAGAGATGGTTTGGCAATCATTTTATATGTAAAATTATAAGAGAAATGTCATCGTTAGTCATTTCGTTACTAACTGGGCACCGTTTTTTTCGATCATACAGCATACGGTATTAATGACGTATTTAAGGAGTAAAGTTCAGTATCAGTTATCGCTTAGAAGGCAACGGGACAAATGAACTACTCACAATAAAAAAATATTTTAAAGTCTGTATTTCTACCATACGATCGAAAAAGCGGCGTCAGAGATGGCTTGGAAATAAAAATCGCTGTCATTTTATACGTAAAATTATATGGGAAATGTCATCGTTAGTAATTTCCTAGCCAACTGGGCGCCGTTTTTTTTGATCATACATAATTAATAACGTGTATGTACAGAGTAGAGTATTGATTAGAAGCCAACGGGACAAATGAACTAACTATAATAAATAATGAACCTGTATCTGTATATTCAATGGATAAAAATAGTGAAGTAGATAAAAAATATATATATTTTCTCTATTGCTGTGGATTGTATTTTGGATAAAAATATTTTTAATAAATCTACTCACCTTGGTGAGACCTAACACCTCAGAATATACACTTTTAATGTCTTTTAGATGTCTCCAAGCTTTATCCAATTCGTTGTTTCTATCGCTAATGGTAGTGTTCATCATAGCTACTTCAACTGGGTAAAATCTAAGCAAAATCATAAAAAAACTGATTTAAAACATTCTGTGACCATATAAATATTGCTTAACAAAAGTTACTAAGACCTAACACTGAGCATTGAAAGAAAGTACCTTGGACAAAAGATAATATTCTCAAGCAAAAACTCCATATCCTTCTTTTGTTCAGCGCTAAATACGCATAAACATTTGACAGCAATGTCATAATACAAAGCAGGGTCGACTTGATCGCGAACTTTTTCAGCTATCTTCAGCAAATTCATCACGAAAAAACTTTCACATCTCGTAAACCAATTGCCGACATTAAAATAGTATTTTGCTGACTTCAATTTCTTTGTATAGTCCAGAATATTGGGATGCTGTAAGAACTTTACTTTAAGCTGAAAAAGGAACCATAATAAAATATATAAAGAAGTAATTAAAGGTATTAAATTAACATACTTCATCTGAACTGTCACTGAGTATACACAAAGACATATTGTATAATAATGGTATACAGCTATTTGACTGTAAAACTGGTACAATATGGTCCATGGTAAACCAGGCAGCTGCTTCTAACGTTTTTAAATTTGCCGTTGTTTTATGAGTTTCGTAGTTGTTGAGAAGTAAAGATCCATTTCTAAAAAAATTACAGGGTGTCCCACTAAGAATATCTCTCGGTTGTATCTCGGAAAGTATTAGCCGTAGAGGCTGCGGAAAAAATGCTTATTACTAAAGAGGCTATGAGAAATTGCTGGAAATTATTTTCAAATTTGTAGAACGACCGCTAGGGGGCGCAACTGCAACAAAAAATTAGAAAATGGAGTTTTTACACCACCAAGTAATAGCTTCATAATCTTCAGTAAATTTGGAATATTTTTTGTTAGAGCCATTTTCCCCTATCTACCAAAATAAAGTGGTGGGGGAAGGTTAGATCTGTTTTTATTTAAATATTAATAACTCTGGACTGGATGATCGGAATCCAACAAGCGAGGGCTCGTTTAAAAGAGCGTTTCTTACTCTATATTGTACCATATAAACAATAATAATAAGCTTTTGAACGTAGACGCTAGGAGGCGTTGTCTTACAATTTAACAAACATTGCGCGTTTTTTCAAAAAAATTAAATGCAATAGTATATGTAATTTTAACTGATAGTAAAGAGTAGTAAAACCTTAAAAAGTCAGCTAAAACCGCATCTTGATATCTTCTTTCAAACTGAAGATATTAGCAAAATTATAATAAATACCAAAAAATAAGCCCTTAGTTACCTTATTGTTACAGCACGGTATCGGTAGCCCTCTTGATTATGCCCATTCCAACAAAAAAATAAGATAGAAACAGTTAGTTTATTTTAACATCGACGGAAATACCAGAATACCATAATACCAGAGGTATTAATATCTAATAATTAAGATATTAATAACAGTGAAGAAGAAACGATGACTCAGTGAAGTCATGGTAGGCTTTGGAAAAAAGCTGCTTTTCACGTAATAGTATAAACGTCAAATTGTTATTAGATCAACATTTTGATAGTCTTAGCAGCGTTTTTTATCTTTTGATTGCTTTTTCAAAATGCCAACAACTTCAACTACTCATTCAACTTCACGACTCAACCCCAACTCATCTTAGTTATTACATATTAATACATCTGGTATTATGGTATATTGGTATTTCGTCGATTTTAAAATAAACTAACTGTTTCTATCTTATTTTTTCTTAGAATGGGCATAATCAAGAGGGCTATTGATACCGTATTGTAAAAATAAGGTAATTAAGAGCTTATTTTTTGGTATTTATTATAATTTTGCTAATATCTTCGGTTTGAAAGAAGATATCAAGATGCGGTTTTCGCTAACTTTTTAAGCTTTTACTACTCTTTACTATCAGCTAAAATTACATATACTCTCGTATTTATTTTTTTTGAAAAACGCGCTATGTTTGTTAAACTGTAAGAACGCGCCCCCTAGCGTCTACGTTCAAAACCTTATTATTATTATTATTTTTATGGTATAATATAGAGTAAGAAACGCTCTTTTAAACGAGCCTCGTTTGTTGGATTCTGATCATCCAGTCCGGAGTTATTAACATTTATATAAAGATCCCAAGTGGCAAATTTTATTTTATAAAGGCTGTATAAACAGCTATATGATCATTTTTATAGGATACCTCAATTCGTATAACGTGCTATAAGACCGTAATATGATAGCTTTACAACCCAAAAAGGCCCATTTTTACACAACCGTTTAGTAGTATAGAAGTTCTATAAAAAGGGTATACAACTCTTATGCAACTATTTTACACAGCGTTATATAACCATTATAAAACTAGTTTTATTGTGTATTACGTGGTCACATCTAAGAGACAGAACAACAAAAACATTTGATCATTTAGCGAGGTAAAACAGTATTTTATTTTTTACCGAAGAATATTAGGAGCAAATTATATTTTAAGCGTGTCGTAAAATGAATCTAGAGGATGTGGATTGTTAAAAAGGAGACTTTACTCGAAGGTGAATATGGCGCCTAGAGCCCAAAGGTACAACAATTATGTAATATAAAAAATCATTAATAGGGTTTGAAAAGTAGGGACAATTTTTGTTGCGCCGAAAATTTTACTGGTAGATTATAGGTATGTATTTGGCAAAAAATTAAAGCGCTTTAATTTCGATTAAGGTTTACGTATAAATTTAAACAATAAAATAAAATAAAATTTTCAAAAATTCTTGTTTTTAATTTAATTAAACAGTTTATTACTGTATGTGGGAATCTTATCACAAAATAGTTCTCAAAAATAACATGTTACAATTTATTTTGATGTTTTTAATTTTGCTTCATATAATGGCGGCATAGGCCATACAAAAATTCTTCCTTAAACATGGCGAATTAGAATGCAACCATTTTATTATAAATGAATCCCTTAAATAAGTCTTTGTTGTAAAATAAAACGGTATAGGATAAATATCTATCATTATGCAGAATTTCCAGGCACTATAGAACTATTTTTGACATATTGAGATTTGTGACAAATAGATGTTGCCAAATCTCATTTGATTAGCAGGTATTTAAACTAACAAACATGATCAGATTTTCATGGATTCATGCACGCAATGCATTTCATGCATGACCGACGAGTGAGCGGCAACCTAAGGACTTGGAAAAACAACAATAAAACAATACAAACATTATTACAGTAAAACTTTTACATCAACGTGGCAACAATGCTTTGAAGAAGCCAGACAACCCGAGAAGATTTTGGATTTTTTGGCCCAGGGAATTCTCGGGATTATTTGCCGTAATTTCGAGGAGTTTTTTCTTAAATGCTCTTTTATAACTACCACTGCGTTTGTTAACTTTAATCCAACTTTGTCCAGAATTCATAATAGCTGTGATTGATTATACTCGTATGTAGATATTACTTTTGCAACAAAAACCATAACAAAATAAATAACTAGGTATACCATTTAATTTAAAATGAGGTTATATTATACATTACCAGCTTTATAATGCAGATATTACAGCGAATTTAATTTGTTAATCACAATTTTATCATATAAGGCTATATAACTAGTGTTGTATACAGCACCGTTGTTTAACGCCAATAAAATATTCATCATACTATATCATACAACGTAATACAACTTTAATAAGACAAGTTTAAGTAACTATTATATGATCTTGTGACTACTAGTTATATGAATATTATAGAACTCTTACATGGTGGGTATAAGAGTCTAATAAAATAATATGTTTGTTATCATATAGCATTGTCTTATTAAGTGTTATATCATACTAAAAGAAATTATCGTTTAATGCGTTATAGGATACGTTGTAAAAACTACTAGAAAATAGTTTAATATGACAACTTTTATTAAAAAACAGAATGGTCGAAACCAAACGCTTAATAAAATCAAGCAGTCCTTAAGACAACGCTATTCGACTGTTATAAAATAATTCAATCCTTTTAGAATTTCATTTTGCTACTTGGGATAGATCTAACCTTCCCCCACCACTTTATTTTAGCAGATAGGGAAAAATGGTTCTAACAAAGAAAATCCAAAATTTACTGAAGATTATGAAGCTATTATTTATAGTACCCATTATCTAGGCAAAATTCTGTAAAAAATCTATTTTCTTATTTTCCATAGCAGTTGCCCCTAGCGGCCGTTTTACAAACATGAAAATAATTTCCAGCAATTTCTCATAGCCCCTTTAGTTATAAATATTTTTTTCTGTAAGTCTATTAATTTAGAGCTATTCACCCGGTACATTTGAACTACTCCATTTTCTCTTATACTGTTATTTATTATGTAATGTTAAACTAATTATAAACCAGAAACCTATAAACTATAGAAGGGCGTCACAATAAACTTTGAAGTTATATCCAAGTTTATAACAATTTCCATAATTACTTACATGATATTTTTCGTTGATATATCGAAAACCCTAGAGTTAATAAAAGTTTCCAGAAACGTCGAGCTGTAAATAGGGTTATAGTTCTTGTTGTATGTTGCTGAACAATATAGAATACTGGACGTTATTTGCGAATGTCCACACTAAATAAAATAAACCAGAATCCATAATTTTTAATATAAAAAAATACAACAATAATTATACATTACTTTAAATTGCTCAAATGTTCCATATTGGTTCATCCACTTCAAGAAACATTCAGAAATAATATTTGAAAATAAATTATGTTCTTTTTCTACAGCTTTGGAAATTAGGAGAAGCAATGCTGATACGTGATTTTGTCTGATCAATGTTGTTGATAAAATATTGTCTGTATTTTTAAAATGGTAGTCCAAATATTTTAAAAATAAATGTTCATGTTGTCTAAAAAAAAATTTTCATAAAATACAGGGTGGCCCATCGAAAACGTTCCGCAAGGCATAACGGCCAGGGTAATTTTTTTTTCAGAAAATTCAAAAACACGTCAATTTTGTTTGTGAGGGGGACAACTTTTGTCCCAAAAATGATTGCAAAATCTTCAACCCTCTAAGCGGGGGTGTCATCCCCCATTTTTTTTCAAATGGGAAGGGGGGTCAAGTGGTACCGCAATGAAAAGGGCTTTCAATTCTCTATACTTTCCTGTTTCGTTTTTGAAAATCGGTCGAGTCATTGAGAAAATATGAATTCCTTCGACCAATTTGCTGTTTTTTCTTATTATTTCTAGATGTTTACGCATTTTTTCACTTGCCACAAGTTTGAACGATCGGGGGCGGTAGTTGCTAGATAGCTGTTCTGTGACTTGTGCGTTGAAGTTCTTCTCAATATCGTTAAACTTTTTAACAATTATGGTGTACTCACTTGCATAAAAAGTGGAAATAATTGAACTTTATTTTAGAAATAAGGAATGTATCGGGTTGCGCAGATATTCAATGAATGCCATCCTGGCAAACACCTTTATGGCAAAATTGTTCGCTAATTAGTAGCAAAATTTCGCGAAACTGGTTCCGTCATGAATAAAAAGAGGCAGAGGGAAAATCCTGTAGTAAATGAAGGTATGGAGGTATTCGTATTGGGCCAAGTTGCCATGGATAGTACGCTGAATACAAGAAAATTAGCCAATGAGACCGGCGTGAATCGTACAAGTGTCCAAAGGATATTAAAAAAACACAAATTCCACCCGTACAAAATTCATTTGCTACAAGAACTCAACAATAACGATTTTGATCGTCGCTTGCAAATTTGTGAAACTATGAGTGAACGAGTGGCGAATGATAATAATTTCCTATTTAATGTGTGTTTTTCGGATGAGTGTACTTTCTTTTTGAACGCGTAGTTAATCGGCACAACTGTCGGTACTGGGCAACCCCAGGGTTTTTCACGAGGTGCACACACAAAACCCTCAGAAATTGAACGTGTGGGCTGGTATTTTTGAAAATTCTATTGTGGGATTCCTAGATACTTGACCTCCCCCGAGAGAGGAATCTCATCACCGCAGAGTCTTAGAGGGCCTAGTCCCTCAAGTATTCTGCGCTTGGTGAAGGGGATTATTACGGTCTTTGTAGGACTAATATTTAGTCCCTCCCGTGTCACCCATAATTCCACAATCTTCAAGGCCCTTTGCATTCGATCCTTATCATTTACTCTGATAAATGTTTAAATAAACTTTTCAAATTTCAATCCTTCATATGGTCTCAATGACTCGACCAATTTTCAAAAACGAAGCGGGGAAATATAGAGAATAGAAAGCTCTTTTCATTGCGGCGCCACTTGACCCCCCTTCCCATTTGAAAAAAGTTGGGGGATGATCGTTTTCGATGAGCCACTTGTATAAATAATTTGTATTGAAGTAAAGTGAATGATATGCAAGAAGCAAAAAATAAATAATAACACTTACCTAAATGCATCACTTGCTAAACCATAGTGCAAAAGAAGTGTCCAATAATGGAAACATTCCACTTGCAACTTCATACCATTGGCGTTTTGAGAAAAATATTCCTCATATAAATATGAAGTTATTATTTCTAAAGTACCATATCTAAAATTAGAGAAAATAATAATTATATAAACCTTAATGACATTATTAAAAAATTTACAACACATTTTAAAATTTTTTAAATATTTTTTTTATACCTTTTTAAAATAATATCAGCTAATGTTCTACTTCTCGATGACAGAATTCTAATTAACTTGATCGTTTGTGGTAATGGCATATTATAACCTGGATTTTCGTTATTTACACCTAAAATATCTTCATGAAACTCAAGATCATTAATCAACAAGTATCTTACTAATTTCTGACAGATGTGGTAAAAAATAGTTGGTCAAATTTTGCAACAATCCATCACAATGTAAAATCTTATTGATGATAAATTCAGAATCTCTCGCCATTCTAGTGAGAATGTCTATACAATAAAGTATAGTTTCCAGAGGAGGCTTCACTATATTAATTATATACCTATATGATAAAAAATTACATAAAATAAATCACAAAATTTCAAATATTATTCTACCTTATCCTAATAAGAATATCTGTTCTTATTAGACATTTTATAACGTTCGTTTCAGCCAACTGTTGATCATTCACAGTATTATCATCTTCCTTGGTCTCATCAACGGCCAATATTGGTTGAACCAACCCAACTCCAAAACTCATCAAATTATCCAAACAAGTGTCATCTATTTGATAATAAACCAAATTTCTTAAAGCTTTTATAGCCGAATTTAATACTGAAGGAGTGTTGTCATCTAAACAAAATCTTATGACAAAAAATACCTGTTCTATTGGGATGTCAATGACTGAATCATATATTCCAGTTTGATCTAATGAGAGAATATTAGCCAAGGTATTCAGGGCTATAACTTTTTGTTGGACAACATTGGATCTGAAATTTTATTGAATAATTTTTTACCTGCATTATTGTGGTATTTTACCTTGTAAGTAATAACAGTTCCTGTAGAGTGTAACCAGGTCTATCTGGTTCATCGCCATGATGATATAAATGTCTGTTTGATTCATCAATTTGTGCCACACTGTATGGCAATAAGTATCCATCAAAGTCAAATCTAAAAAATATGTTTACTATATGAAAAGAAAAAAACAAAAAATAATAAAAAGGAAGTAAAAAAATAAAACATAAATAAAAAAGGAAAAATAAAAAAAGTTGAAATTTTTTTTAAAGAAAAGGCAACTAAAAATGAAACACAAAAAAAATTAAAAAAAGAAAAAGATAAGGAAAGTAAAAAAATAGTATATAATATAAATATAATCAGTTGTAAAGAAAGTAATGTTAGGTTCATGTTTCCGATATTAGCCCTAACACTAACATTAGTCCTAACCCGAAGAATATGAATCAACGTTGACGAACGCTAAAAAAGTAGAAAAATTAAGTAAAAAAGAAAAAAAAAACAAAATAAAGTCAAAAATAAAAAAAACGAGAAAATAAAAAATCTAAAAAAAATATTATTTAATTTATATTAAAAGAAAAGACAAGTAAATACGAAACACACAAAAAAGAATTAAAAAAAAATAGAAAGCAAAAAAAGTAAAAAAAAGTATATAAAAATCGATAATCAGTTGAAAAGAAAGTAAAACATAAATAAAGTAAAAGAAATAAAAACAGGAAATTAAATTAAGAATATGAATCAACGTTGACGAACGCTAAAAAGTAGAAAAATTAAGAAAAGAAAAAAAAACAAAATAAAGTCAAAAATAAAAAAAAACGAAAAAATAAAAAATCTAAAAAAAATATTATTTAATTTATATTAAAAGAAAAGACAAGTAAATACGAAACACACAAAAAAGAATTAAAAAAAAATAAAAAGCAAAAATAAAAAAAGTAAAAAAATCGATAATCAGTTGAAAAGAAAGTAAAACATAAATAAAGTAAAAGAAATAAAAACAGGAAATTAAATTAAAAAAGAAAAACAAAACAAAAAAGTAAAAACAAAATTAAGAAAGGAAAAGAAAAAAAATATACAAAAAAGCAAAAATGTAAGACACATATTTAAAGAATGTTTTTTGTAATGTTCCTTAAATTACCTTGCTTCAAACCCAGACGTTTTCTTTAAATCTGGCACAGTTATATTTTTCATCCATGCCAACTTACTGGCTTCAAACCTATTAAAATTGATCCAACCTGCAGATTCAGGTTTTGACAGCATTTCTTTGGGCGCTTCTAATTCATCTAGATCTATCGATTCAGCCGCAGCATTCTGAGTTTGTATGGTTGGATTACGACTTTCATTTTCTTCAGGTTTAGTTGTTCTAAAATTTCAAATATAGGTAAACAGAAATATTTTTATATTTTAGGAAATTCACTTTCTAGATCTTAAGTATTGAATTAGAGCTGGATCCAAAGATGAAAGAAGCCTTTCTCTTTCAGATAATATTTCTTCTTCGGTCATTGATTTAAGTTTATTAATGTTTTCATCGTGTATTGATTTCTTATCAGCGGAAGTAAGGATATTTGAGTTTTGAATTGATGCCTCTAACAGAAAATTACTAAGTTTTTAAAGCATAACTATAAAAAACTTCCTTATAGGTACCTCTAAATTTTGAGATAACTAGTTCCTTCTCATTACAGATACTTTTACTGTTACTAAACTTAATAGCTCCTACTGTATCACTTTGATTTTTTTCCTTAACCACTAAAGATGTCTCACTGATATCCATATTACATGACTCACTCTGATTATCATTTGATTCACGTTTTAGTCTCTTAATATGCTGTGCAAATATACTAACTCTTGTTGGCTTAATATTTGGCTACAAATATTTTCATGTTTTAGAAACCAACTGTTAAAACACAGTTTATAATAATTAATACTAACATCTCTTCGAACAGCCTTAGGAAAACCACGACTATCAAAATTAAAAACAGGCTGTCTTTTGGTTTGTTCCTGCTTTTCAATAACTTGGTTTATTTTCATGTCTGTTGGTATAGCTTCAAATGTATTAGCAATCTGATTTTGTACATTATCTTCTGCATAGTTTTGATCTGTTTTAATTTCTCCTTGTTTAATTTCTTTCTTTTCTATTTTAAAATGTTTAAATTTAGTTTAAAGTAGCTTTTATTTAAAATATATTTACCTTTTTCATTGCTGTTTGCTACTACAGCTGCAGGTTTTATTTTATTTTCAGCTGATTGTTTAAAAAATTCATCCTGTTGTCGTAAAATTTCATCTTCATTATCAAAAGGAGTCGGTCTTTTAAGCATGTTATTATGATATAAATTAGAAATATAGAAAATAGTGAAAAAATCAAAATTTGTTTTGTTTTTAAATGATTTTTTAAACTAACCTTAAAATATTTAAAACGTCAAATCAGTTCTAAAATATTTCAATAGGTATAATGTTGTCAGTTTTCCATCCTACATTTTTTAATTCAGTATGAATATCAATATTTAAAACTCCTATACTTAAAATCGATTTTTATCTAACAATATATAGCTTTATTTTTCTATGTATAAATCCTAAAATAATTTATTATTATTAATAAGGAATTAATGAATTTTCATGAAAATTTAAAACCACAAAAAAAAGAGAAATTTATGATTCCTGTATTTAAGTAAAATTTTCGAGAATTGGCAATGCCTTATTTCTGGAAACAGATGATTGACATTTAAAATTTTCCCGCTATTCAAAAAATTAGGTTAGATTTTAGGAAGACAGCCAAAGACAGCAAAATAGGAAATCAAAATAAATAAAATGAGTGAATTGCCAGAAATTTCAATAGATATTTTAGAACAAGAAGGTGGAATTACGGAGAATGAATCAGAAACGCCAGCTACTCTTACTGAATCGTCAGATTCGTCAAATAATAAAAAGGAAAATACAGCTGTTAGTAAACCTGTGAAATACGTAAAACTTCCCTTTGCAAAGATTAAACATATAATGAAAATGGACCCGGACTGTGTAATTGTCCAACAAGATGCAGTGTTTCTAGTTACAAAAGCCACGGTAATATATCTAAATATACTTTTATACACATAACTTATTTTCAATTCGTTCAGGAAATGTTTATCGAATTTTTAACTAAAGAAACCAACAAACAACTAACGGGTAATAAACGGAAAACAATTATGAAAAAGGATGTCGATGCAACTGTAGAAAGTATACCTCAACTCTGTTTCTTAGATGGTGCTTTAGAGTAAGATAAAAATGTTTAGGTACAATAATTATTTTTACTGTAAGACTAAAAATAAAACTCATTTTTGTTAATAGCCTTTTTAGTTTGTTTAATACATAAATCATACAGTCGAAAAAAAGTAATAGCGCAGCACATTAAAGAATATAAATTAAGCGTCAAACTGAAAAAATTAAAACACTTATCACTTAGTGTATGAATTCACTATAAAGATCCACAATTTAATTTAAACCAATAAAACATCTTTCGAAAATAAATCAAAAACTATTTTCTGTTCTTGGTTTTTCTTTTGGTTGTCCCATTTTCACTGTTCCCATATAGTGAATTCAATAAATTCTCTAAATCAGGCTTGTCCATTCTCGGAGACGAGCTGTTCCTTCTCGGTTGATTATTCTGTTTGCCGAGGGCTATCCTGTACTGAACATGATGTGAATCAGGCTTCAGATGTTTTAATGTGTCTTTTTGACAGCCCGCCCAATCGGTTATGTCATATACTGACCCTTCCATACAAGCATAGTAATGCCACAAAAAGCCAAAGCATCTGGCTTCTGCCCAAATATCACCTACAAAAAATGTTCAGTATAAAATAATTTCGGTTTAAAAAAAGTGTCATAGTAGCCTTTGAAACGAAAATACTACCTTCTCTAGCAGCATGATGAATTTTACACATATGACAATTCCTTGCTGCATAACACGGCCTATCCACTTTAATTCTTTTATGCCTTTCCCCACAAGCACTGCATCTTATAGTGTTTGCATTCATCTCCATTTTTTGCTGGAGTTTCTGGAGTAATTCAGCCATTTGGCTGAAATTTTGTACTACAAATGCTGACTCTGCCACTCCTATATAAATAAAAATTAAAGAATCTCAAATGGAAAGTAATATTAAGTTTTTTACCTCTGTCATATGCCGCTCTTCGTTCTGATGTTCCTATCATTTCGAAGGCATGAACCAGGATTTTAAAAGCCTCCTCAGCACCTGGTTGATTATTTTTATCGGGATGAACTAACACAGCCTGTCTTTTATAGTATTTTTTTATGTCATCATCTGTGCATTTTGGTGTAACACCCAATATACTATATGGATCTTTTCCTTTACAAGCTAGCAACCTAAAAATTTACACAAAATATAGAAAATACTTAAAAGTAAAGATAAGGTAAAAACCTTTTCATTGCTTCTTCACCAGTTGTAGGCATATTGATGTTAGTTTCGAGTCCGTTTTGTAGGAAACTATTGGTTTCTTCTTCAGCTGACTTTTTCTTTTTGCGGCCTTTAAACCTATCCTCGAATTTTTGCCATATCCAAGCCGACAAACGCCACCTTTTTAAGATTGCCTCTCCAGTACTTGTAAACGAATGCCAACAATCCACTAAACCTTTCCATAAGTTGATTGCACTAAAATATTAGAGTAATATTATATCCTTTCAATAAATTATTATAAAAAAACTTACAAATCTCTGCCTAAATGTATGCTCAAACTGAAGATGTCATAAATTAAATGATAGAGCCACAAAATGAACACAGTAAAAACATCCCACCATCTCTTAGTGTATACCTTAATATGTTGTCCAATAATTCCTATAATAAAATATTTATAAATCAGATTGCAAAATTTTCATAAAAGTAATGTTACCTGAAAGACGCTGTGAATCTTTTTTCTTTGCTCTCTGATTTCTTTTAGATGAAGGCCTATCATTTCCATTTGCAAAACTATCATTCTGCTTCTGCCTGTTCTTATTCTTCTTCAAAGTACTTTTCAATATATTTGCTGCCTCAGCTTTAGTACTTGTATCAGTTGCTTCATCCGACATACTGTTTATACTTTTGTTAACTTTGTTCTTGGTTGGTTTTACTGGTTTGTTGTTCATGCTATTCTCTTCTGGTCTTTTAATCTTCTTTGATTCTTCAGTTTTGATCAGGTTTGGCTCAGAGATATTGTCTAGGGATGCCCATTTTCTATTCAACTGATTTGTTTTGATTGTTTTTTTCTCAACTTTACTATTAGGAAATGTTCTATCCATTGGAATATCACGTATATCATTATTAGTGTTGCAACGGTTCAACAAGTTCCCAACCTTTTGTGATTTGTCAGTTTTGCCATTCTTCCTGGATTCCTTTTTGAATTTAACATCCTTTGACTCTGGTTTGAGTGGCTTTGTATTACTTGTGGAAGGAACTGGTTTAGTTAGAACATCTGAATAGCTAGGACGCATTGGTTTCACCTCAGCTAGAGGCCTTTTTTTGTTTGTATCTCGGTTAAAGTTAAACTTATCATCAACAGGTTCTGTCTGCTTATATTTAATATCATTTTTTTGTTCTGGATAACCAGATTCACCGTTTTGGGATTGGAAATCAAATAAGCTTGGCTTAAAAGTATCTGTGTTACCAAATGGTGTGTATGTTCCGGCATTATTTGGTACTGCCCAGTTTCCAACAAGATTTTCAAAAATCTGTGATGGTTGAACACTATGGTTTATGGGGTTATGTAAAATATTTTCTGGCATGTTTGGTGAGTAGTTATACATAGCTTGTGGAGCACTGTTTGACCTAAGATTATAATTATTATATTCAGGTATATGAACGTTCTTTTGGAAATTATCAAACACTGAACTGGCTTCTTGGTGTATAAAATTGGTAAGCTGTTCTCTGGGAGGTTGATCTAGATGAGGGTCTGGATAATGTAATCCGTAATTCAAATAGGATCCTGGAGAATTGTGAGCAGTCCAAGTCATCTGTTCTGAAGCGTTTGTTTGGGCTGGATATCCAAGAGGAATATATTGGCCATCGCTATTTTGCATGTCCGATGCCATGAAACTGATTATTTTATCGACAGGGTCACTGGAAGGAGATATCCTATTTCCCTCCGACATAATCGTATTGTTTGGAAACTAATATTTTGGCACAACTTGAAGACTTTCTTAACAAATGTGCAGAATTCGTGTTTTTCTTTCCATTGTCAAATTACGTCGGTTACGTCAAACGTGGATGAAAATGACAGCGGAGTACAATTGAGTATGTCGAAATCCTAAAATTTGAAATAAACATAAAACCGGGATAAAGTTTCATTAATTGCATTCTCTATGTTTAATTGTATTATGATAACGCTGATTCAAATGCAAAAAATAAAAACAAATGTTGATTTAATGCTGATATAAAATGGAAAGATAGATTACGCATTTTATTTACAGAATACTATTAAACTATATGTTGTTATATATCCCGTCAGGTAGAGCAACTTAGAATACTAAATGATAGTTTAGGTACTGAACGAGAGATGGCGCAAGTATTTACAATTTTAAATTTTTTCTTTGATCTTTTTATTTAAAAAATATTTGATTTACGATTACCATATTTATAGCAAAGTAAGTACAGACCATCTAACGTAAATACATAATATAGTTTTGATTTCAGGATAGTTCTTGTATTTTTAATAATTTTTTTAAAAAGGCTGAAAAATATATATTTTTTACTTATTTATTAATATCACTGAAACTATCGAAATATATTTAATCATATCTTAGGATTATCTAAAGTGATCTGAAAGGAAGCCAAAAATGCAATAATGTACAGGGTGTTCGATTTAAAAGAAATCATCCGTAGTCAGAATGTGGAAGTTAAAATATTTTCCTGAAACGCATCCTAGTATAATAGCACTTAAACAAAATTTCTAAGTTTCTTATTCTAGGAGCTACAGATATACCCGACTATTGCCGGACCCTGTACAGAAGGATTTAAATCTAATTTTCATATAATTTTTAATCCGTAATCACTCTTATTCATATGCAAGATTTTGAACTAAACCAAAATTATTTAAGACCTACAAGTAAACGGGACAAAAAACCTATTCTACGGCCATCATTCCGGACCGATAATCCTCAAATCAAAAAGCGATTAATCACGGGACACTTCTGCTTATTAGCATACGTTGGTGGGCAGATTGCATAATTTATCCATTAGTCAGGTCCGGCCGGCGCTCATGACTGATGCTTAATGACTTACTCCGGAGCGGTTTATGTACGGGAACGATCTTGCCAATACATCAACTCCTATCAAACGGCCATGAATCCGTAATACAGCAAATGACTTTATAGGGAGCCGGTATATATCTTGAGCGGAGCGCGGGCCTATGAATAATATTACGCGAATCGGGCGGATTCAGGGAGTGCATTAGATCTAAATTTAGGCGTAATTTATTGTCCAGTTAGTTCTATTATAGTTTTAAGCATTGAATTGAAAGACTAAGGAAAGTAGAGATGAGCAAAACTGTGATTCTCCAATCGCAATTGAAACTGCGACTGCGATTTCTAAATCGCTGCGACTGTAACCTGCGATTGCGATTTTAATATCTAAATATTGTACTAGGGATATAATTGTCTGTGTTAGCTATTAGGGATGTGAATCCCGGGATCTCGGAATCCCGGGATCCCCGAAGAAAATTTGCCTCGAAAGATCCCGGGATTGGATTATATAAATACCGATTTTTCTTGCCATAGAATAAATCGCTTAATTTCTGAACTAAATAACTTAATATTTCCCTAATTAAATCAGAGATGGAAACACTTTTAATCAGACTAGAGCTCGGAAATTCATCAGATAATTCTAGAAGAGGAACCAGCAACGACAGCTAAGAGGATGAGCTTCCCATTTCCGAACTTCTGAGAAGAGAAGATAATGAACCTTTAAAGCCCAACTAACATTCTTTGTTTTATAATGGTAATGGTTACATTTCGATAACCCACTTAATAAAACCTAAGAGCCTATCAATTAATTGTTCGTGAAACGTTTTCGTTACCCTTATAACACCCCTATAGCACTTAATTGGAGAATCTTATAAAGGTAACGGTGACCAAATTTTAGTGCCTTATAAAACCTTTAACGTGACCTTTACTCTCCATTTATTGGTAACTAAGATGTTGTCTTTACCTTTATAAACCATAAATAGGTTTTATAGCGGCAAGGAATACATTTTCGTTACCGCTTTAAAACCTTTATATTCCTTATAGTGTTTATAAACACCAAAATAAAAAACGCCCCTTTTAAGTTCATCTCTTTCTACAACGTTTGTTTGCAATATATTCTATTTCAAGTTCTTGTCAATATTATTCTGCTTGCACTTTAAAGTTGACAGCAATGGATTTTCACTTTGATGAAAATGGCGTGTTATAATAATTACCATAACAACTTAAACACTCTGTAAGAATTCTATGAGGACTAAATTTTATTGGCACGGAAGATTTATCGAGTAATATTAACATTTTACCCTTCTTAAAACTAAATCGCCCCCGTTTAGAACTCAAATATAATTTATTTTGTAAAAACCAAAAAATTAAAATTACGTCTCATGATTTGTTTTTTTTGCAAATAAGCTGCGCAACATTTCTTAACCCCATGCTTTTGAAAAAAATACGTCTTAAAGCTTCGGTAATATTGCTTAAAATGCAATATTCTTCTTTTTTGTGTAAGTACAACAACACGAACATAAAATGGCCGCCTTATAAAAGGACGTCATGTTCGCCATTTCGCCTTTTAAAAACCTCTAGTTTTATATGGGCCTTAAAGTAATCATCCACACTTTAAAAACTCTTATAACACTTCCCTAGGTGTCTTATGGGAATTTTGCTCTTGCAATAAAACCTTAGGTGCTTTTGTGATGCTTAATAGTTTTATAAGTTACCAAAAAGGTATTTATAGAAACTTGACCATTGACCATAACCCCACTTTTTGTTTCGGGCGTTTTGGCTTTGGCAAAACAATTTTTTAATCAAAATAATTAAAACAAAGCCCTTCAATGCCCTTCAAAATTGTCCAAACAACAGAGGATGGAAAATCAACACCGTCTTTGACCAAATTTCCCTGATATCTATACATTCTTCTAAAGGTCCTTTACCCCTTTCTTCATCGGTGGCAGTCGATTCAGTCGAAGTATTTGGCAATGTATCTTCTTGAGGAACGTCTAAGTTTTGGTAATTTTTAGTAGTTGTGGGTGGTGTGCTTCCCAAAATATTTTTACGGGTTTTAACGCACTTTCTATATAAACTGCTACTGTATTTAATTTTTTCCAACTTTTTCTTTCTTCTTACATCTTTGATTTACAAAAGCAAAACAGGAACATAAAACATAATCTAACCTTAAAAATATAGCGCCCCCTATTCTACACATGAAAGGAGTTGCTACTGAGCCTATAAGTTTTATAAAATCTTTAGGTTTTGTAGTAGCTGTAGAATGTTTATTAGGTGCCTTAGGATTTATAAGGGTTTTACGAAGTAAGCTATAAAACTTCAAGAGTAAAAGTTTTATAATAAGGTTTTTAAGAACGCTATAAAACCCTTTTAAAAAAAACCTTAAGTAACCAATACCAAAAGTTTTATAAATAAGGTAACGAAAACATTTTGGATGCAATATTATAAAACTTCAAGTATTTTGGTATTTTTTCGAGGTGTTACAAAACTTTTAACACCAATAGTGTTCTTATAAGACTTTAGACACTCTTATAAATGTTAAGGTTCCATATAAACCTCTTATAAATACCCGTTACCTTTTAATAAAACTTTAGGCTCCGAAAAATGTTACTTGGGAGGTTAAACTGCAGAAAGCATTACAACAATCTTCAAAGCCGATAAAAACCAAAAGAAGTAATAAGACGCGATTGTTCGACATTATTACCCAAATATTATTATTACAGTTGAGGGTTGGAACCTTTGGTGTTACACAGCAAAATAAAAACACTGTTTGTAAACACACATAGTGTTTTTATTTTGCGATTATTACCCAAGAAATTGAATTATTTTCAAATGGTGGTAGTAGGGGACGACGTAATCTCCAAAAAGCTTTTGAATTTTTATCAACCATTCAGGCCGCGTGGAATCTGAAAGATGTTTTTCTTCGGCAGGGATCTTGTGTAATAGATACGTTCAAGACTGGGGGATGAAACTTGGATTAATATTTTTGCGCTACTTTTTAAAAATTTGTAGCTATAATTTGTTTGCTAAAATTTGTTTGGTGTTCATATGATTTTTGTTAAAGAGTTTTTTGTTAATTTTTGTGTTTTGTTATATTTATATTAATTTTTTTTATGATATTAGGTATTTCATTGATAATTTTAAACCCGGGATAAAATCCCGAGATTCCGGGATTTGTCGTTCAAATCTCGAAAATCCCGGGATTTTGAAAACCTTTCGGGATTGACATCTCTAGTACCTATAGCTTAACAGTTAAAAAAAGTTAATAAAAATCAGTTAAAAAGTCAGTTATCAGTTTAAAAAAGTTAATAAAAATCGGAGAAGAACTATAGGAATATGTAGCGGAATTCAATTATCTCGGCAGTTTGGTTTCGGAAAAGGCTAATGGACAACAAATTACGCGACTCTGAAATTCAGCACAGAATTAACAGCGCCTCAAGAGCATTCTGGAAATAAAAACACAGGATTTTCTACAATCATGACTTGAGCACAAAATCAAAACTTGCAGAGTACCGAGCAATAATAATCCCCACTTATATGGGAGCGAAACCTGGGTGCCGCGCCGTACCGCCGACACATGAAGGCATTAAACAAGTTGCAACAGAGACACCTCAGACAACTCTTAAGAATCAAATGGTTCGAGATAAATGAGTGGTACCAAATTATTCGTAAAAAATGCTTTTTCTAAATATGCTATTGAGCCACCTTCGTTCCATTTGAAAACATTGAGATATAATTAAAAATAAGATTTAGGCATCTTTTAATCAGCCAGGACAACACACGAAAAACAATAGACAATTACATTTTTTTCCAAGATTTTTTGATTAAAAATTAGTGTTTTTAACACAGCTATGTGCTAACACAGTCATAAGCTAACAAGACAAGCACAGTCATATGCTAACATACCAAATCTCGTTTTTAATCAGAAAAAATAAAAGGGTTATAGGAAGAAACACCCGGTATACTAGGATTTTGGCCCTGGAAAAATAATACCTAAATAAAATCAGAGAAAAAATTCACT